TCAGCTTTTTGCCGACGTTTCGCAAACATTTCAGTCTGCATCATCAGGGCTAGATTGCTCCGATACTGAAGCTCCCCGTTGTAAGGAAGTCCTTACATACCCCCTGAAAAGACGTTGTAGGCTATCGTACCCTAGGTGGTATGATAGCTGCATTAAAAAATCAAATAAATAAATGATAAAAAATATGGAAAAAATAATTGACACAAAACACAATTCTTGGGAAAAAGCCGAAGCATGAAAAACCCAGATATATTTACTTTGATACAAGATTTAAACGATTAACTACGAATGACGGTATTCACACACACACACATGCATCCACACACCAATGTTTGTCTAGGAACGCATAGGCGAACTGTCGACTGAATATGTAGACACACACGCGCACTAATAGATAACGATACGATAAATCCCACACTGAATGTTTAGGTGGAATAAGTTAGGATTGCGCAATTTGATAATCACGACTTCGATATCGTGGCTTCGGTGCCACGTGTGACACGAAATCGTTGGATTTCGTGTCTTAGATTAAGATTTTTGATTGATAGTTTTTAGGTTTTTTCGTCACTACAGTTTGTGAACGAAAACGATTGATTGATCGATGGTTCCTTTCGGATAATTATTTTGTCGATTATGACAACGGATGGCTCAGGATGACTTGTCAAAATGATTGACTTGCAGTTGCAAACGATTCACACACTTGTAGCGTCGGTTAGACTCTGACCTCATCGAGCGTCCGCGCACGCTCGGACCCGCCAGACTGGCGCATGGTGGCGTTGCTACCCACTTCGCCAACATACCAAGCACGGTTACATTCAAATACATGTGTTACGATGGAACATACTCCCGGCGAAAGCTGCGGAATAGTATAACGATTGATTGCTATGATGCAGGTTAATATATATATACAGAGATATTTACATATCAACAGTTATAACTGAGACTTATAACTAGGTGATAGGTAGCAGGCAGAGGCGAGTGATGTTGCGTTTGTAGGTGCCGTTGGCAGTCCTAACTGATGCAACTCGAGCGATGCCGTCACTCCCAGGAAACACTTCGACGATCACACCCAGCGGCCATCGTGCACAAGCGACAGCGTCATCCACGAGTAGGACTACTGATCCCAGTTCGAGTTCCGCAGTCGAAGTATGCCATTTTTGGCGAGTTTGCAATTCATGCAGATATTCCTTATGCCACTTACTCCAAAAGTCCTGTTTGGCCTTGGTGATGAATTTGTAAGTGGACAAGCGATTATCTGAAACTGATAAAAACGATTTTTCGGGTAAGGCGTTGAAGGGTCGACCTATCAACAGATGGGCTGGAGTTATAGCTAAGGGATCATTGGGATCAGCTGAAAGAGTACATAAAGGTCGAGAGTTTAAGATCGCTTCGATTTCGATCAGTAAAGTATTGAGTTGCTCGTAGGTGAGCTTATGATCTTTTAAAACGCGTTTCAGATGATGTTTGAAACTCTTTACAGCTGCTTCCCAAATCCCTCCGAAATGAGGTGATAAAGGTGGATTAAAATGCCACGTGATGCGTTTAGTTAACGCGAAATTTCCCACCGTTTCCTTGAAATTAGGAGAAGAAAGAAGATCAGAAAGTTCGCCAAGTTCTCGATTAGCTCCGACAAAATTAGTCCCGTTATCAGAGTATACATGTTCAGGGACACCCCGACGACTAATAAACCTTCGGAACGCTGTTAAAAAACCTTCTGTGGATAGATCGGTAGCGAGCTCGATATGTACAGCCTTAGAGACCATACAAACGAATACACAACCGTATGACTTGAGGAACGATCGGTTGCGATCCCTTTTCTCCTTGATGAGAATAGGACCAAAGAAATCAACACCTGTCCGAGAAAAAGCTGGTGCTTCGTTAACTCTAGCTTTAGGTAGATCTGCCATCTGAGCATGTACTAATTTCGGTTTCTGGCGGATACATTCAACGCATTGATGAACGATTTTTCCAATCTGGTCTTTACCATTTAAGATCCAGAATTTCGATCGAATAGCGTAGAGAGTACTTTGAATCCCTGCGTGAGAAGTTTAGACTGATGAGCCTGACGATCATATCAGTAACAGGATGTTTACTGGGCAATAAGATGGAATGTTTCTGATCATAAGAAAGTTCCGACTTCTTAAGACGTCCTCCGACACGAAGGAGTCCCCTGTCATCCACGAATGGATGCAATTGATCAAAAGGCGTTCCTCCTGACGATGAATTGACTGAACCTTCCGAAGATTGATTGGCCCCGAGCTTTCGGAGCTCAATGGAGAAACGTTCACGCTGAACCATCATGACGATGCGATACTCGACTTCATGGAGTTCCTCAACCGAGAGTGGACGGTTCCGAGGAGTTTGGGAATTCTTCCAACGTAAGATGTAAGCCACAATTCTTACAAATCGTTCGAAGTTTGCGAAACGAGAGTAAAGAAATTCACATGAAACGGTAGTAAGTAGACAAAGGATCTTTTTCAGCCCAGGCACTAGAATTGCTGAAGATACGATTGATTGTGGCCATTGAGATTTATCAAGAGATAGCCATCTGGGACCTGAAGTCCATAGAGAATTCCTGACAAACTCCGAAGAAAGTTGTCCTCGAGATAACGCGTCAGCTGGATTGTCCTCGGACCGGACGAGTCTCTAGCTAACTTGATCACCTAACGTTTGGATGTCTGCCACTCTATTTGATTCGAAAGTCCTTAAGAGATGAGGAGCTTTCTTAAGCCAGCAAAGAACGATACTGGAGTCAGACCATAAATACACCTGATCGATGGGAAAATCAAACTGAGCTTTAGCCTGAAGGTATAGCTTTGTGAGAATGGTAGCTGCGCAAAGTTCCAATCTAAAAATTGTAACTCCACTCAGCGGTGCTACGCGAAATTTACTGCAGGCTAGTTTGATTAAAACATCCCCTTGGGAATTGCTGGGTTTGAGATATAGACAAGCCCCATATCCGTGAATCGAGGCGTCGCAAAATCCATGGATCTCGATGCGAGAAGGATTTGAGGTCAGGATTTGTTGAGAAAACGAGACCTCTTGCAGTCTTGGCAATTGGAGCGCTAACGATTTCCACTTTGTGCGAACATCTTGAGGAAGAGACTCATCCCATGTGATCTTCGCCTTCCAGCAGTCTTGAATCAAGACTGGCGAATAGAGTTACAGGGCCCAAAAGTCCTAGGGGATCGAAGATCTTTGACAACTCTGAGAGGAGTTTGCGTTTAGTTGCAACAACGTTAGGATCAACCTGATTCAAAGTGTACTGCAACAGATCGTTTTGGGCATCCCATATAATACCCAAAGTTTTCTGGACCGGATCATCTTTGATCAAGCAATTTGTTGAAGAACCTTTTATCGATTTTATCTAAAACTGAACGATGATTGGATGACCATTGACGGATAACGAAACCGCCACGGGACAGTACAGCAATCATCTCATCACGGATAGTTAAGAGATCATCCAAGGAATCTGCACCTGAGATGAAGTCAACGACATAAAAATCGCGGAGGAGGAGTTTACTGGCACGTGGAGAATCGTGCGGTTCATCGCGAGCAAGTTGTTGGATCGTACGAATTGCTAGGAAAGGAGCAGCGGCTGTGCCAAAAGTCACAGTGTTAAGCTGAAAAGTTCGAAGTTGTCCCTGATAAGGCCACAAGACCTTTTGGAATTGTCGATCGTCTGGATGAACTAGTATTTGACGGTACATTTTCTCAATGTCCGCTGTGATGACGTAACGATGAGTGCGAAATCGAAGGACTTGTTCGAATATAGTATTCTGGATAGTGGGGCCGACCAGAAGAGTGTCGTTGAGCGAAATGCCCGTAGACGTTTTAGCCGACGCGTCGAACACTACTCGAACTTTAGTGGTTTCACAGGACTCCTTGAAAACAGCATAGTGAGGAAGATAACATCCACCCTCGGTCTCATCGCAAAGAGTCATATGACCAAGAGAGATATACTCCTCCATCACCCTGGTGTATCCAGATTTAAGTAAAGGTTTTGATGAAAGTTTTCGTTCTAGGGAAGAAAAGCGTTTGAGTGCTTGCGAACGAGATTCACCAAGATTGAATTTAGAATCTCTGAATGGAAGACGAACTATGTACCGACCAGTGACATCTCGGTTAGTATGTGTGACATAGTGTTGTTCACAGGAAATTTCATCACGAGATCGAACGGGTTCGTGATCAAAATCCTCGATAAACCAGAAACGCTCGATAAGTTTGTCTAATTTGACAACATTACAAGAGGAGGTTGTTGAAGACGTCAACAACTCAGAACCTCCAGCGACGATCCAACCTAACCGAGTTTTTTGTAAAACGATGGCAGAATTCTCATGAGAGAGTTTGATTTGGCCTACGGACAAGATCGATAGCATAGTGTTAGAAGCTAACAAAAGATCGATTGATCTTGGAAGATGAAACTGCGGATCAGCGAGTTGAAGATTTTTGGGAATGTCAAATTGATGTCGAGGGAAAACGTCACTAGGCACTAGATCAGCGATCCTTGGTACTATCAAAAAATTCGATTGTTGTTTAAAGTCATTGTACTTTGAATTGAGAATTAATTGAACATATTGTTTTGAAACAGTGCACAGACCGTCAACTGCTCCAATGTTCACAGAACAACTAGTTTTAGATAGCCGAAGCGACTTGGCAAATCGCTCGGTAATTAGATTTACTGTAGAACAAGAATCCAACAGTGTTCGTGCCGTGACACAATTCCCTCGATTATTTTGGACTTTCACGACTGCCGTTGTCATCAATTGTGAGTCCGATGGAAAAGCGACAGACGTGTACGCTTGGTGTCCTAGTCATTGTTGACCGCTGATGGACGGAGAGGGTTTTGTATCCTGGGGCTTTGATTGTTGAGAGCCCTTGTCATTGTGCAACAGCGTATGATGATTACGCTGGCGCTTCTTGCAGAGCTTGTCGTTCTTGCAAGGGAATGGATGGACCCAAAGACAATTTCTGCAGACTTTAATATTCTTCACAAAGTTTCAACGATCATGAACACCGAGTTCACTGAATGCCGGACACTTGAAAAGTTGATGAGCTTTATTGCACTCCGGACAAGTCAGATATGTCGATTGAGAGGAGATTGCCTCAGACTTGGACGACGTAACAAAGGCATGAGAAGCCTTCTTCGCGAATTTATTCGACGATTGAGTAGGAGTTTCTCCAGGTCTCTTTTTCGGATTGTTGACGTGATTAGGGGTAACTGAGGTGTCCAGAGCCTGCAGTTTAAAAATGGTCGTTTGAATGAACCCGCATAAATCGTCCAACTTTGGTAATTCATCCATATTGAGTTTATCCTGCCATTTGCTCCTGGTTGTTGGAGAAAGACAACGTTCGATGATACGAACAAGTAAATTCTCGCCAGGTGGAGCATCAAGTCCTTCTAAAATATGCAGGTGCTGACGAGCTTCATCTAAGAGCGATGACAATTCGTCAGCCGAAGCTTTGGTACACCGAGGAAGATCTAGAAGAGCGTTCAAATGTTCTACTGCCACAATGCGCTTGTGATCGTAAAACTCCAAAAGTGTCTTCCAAGCCTTCGGATAATCTTTATCGCTGGGATCACATTGGCTTACTTTCTTAAGCGCGGAATCAGTGAGAGAGTCAAAAAGTTGACTGCACTTCACTGCGTCGCTGACATCTGTACGAGAATAGACAAGAGCAATGAATTTATTCTAGTAAGATGCCCAATTTTCCCGCTTACCGTCAAAAGTGGGGATTTTAATTTTTGGGAGCTTAGGCAATTCCTGTCGTTCTGTTATCGTAATGTTGCTACTGTTTAGAGTGGAACTCAAAAAATGCTCGACTCGTTGTAATTTTGTAACGGAACCGGCAGCTTCGAAATACCGAGACTCGACCTCCAAAAAGATATTTACTTGAGGATTTCCTGGTTGGAGTGAAATTAACTCCTCGTTGTATTTGAGACAAGCCTCGTAAAATGATGATAAACTGTCCAAACGCATCTTAGCATTTGCAGGATCAGGACTTAGACCCTCCAAATATTGTTCTAACTTCCCTAATTGAATTTTCAAAGAAGTTAATCTTTGTTCGATGTACGCGACGCGTTTCTTCTCGTCTGGAGAGAGCTCCATTTTTAATTTCAAATTTCTTGTGACAATATTGTGTTGATCAATTAATAGAACCGATAGATTAGTTATTGAAATGTTCGAAAAAATGGAAGGACTGCCCTATGGTCATCAAAACAAATCGATTGACTGAAGAATCTTCGTAAACCAGGGACCTTTGTCGTGAACACCACCGATGGATGGAAATGAACGAGAAAAAAAATAATAAAATGGCCTAAATAAACAATTGAATGTAAAGAAGATGAATGTTAAGGACTTATCTTTTGCACTATTCCACGATGTTGAGACCTGCTGGGCGGTGAAGCTTCCTGGAACGGGAGTGACGGTGGATTGATGAAACGATGCGTCTCCAGACGTGATGACGCGTCGAAAAAATGCTTGAAAGTTTTTTTTTATTTTTTTAATCACTTTGTACACTCGTGCACTTTGTAACATGCATCACTCGCAGTTTTAGGTTGAGGCAGAATTTCTAACCTCACAGGAGGCACCATGAAAAGACGTTGTAGGCTATCGTACCCTAGGTGGTATGATAGCTGCATTAAAAAATCAAAAAAATAAATGATAAAAAATATGGAAAAAATAATTGACACAAAACACAATTCTTGGGAAAAAGCCGAAGCATGAAAAACCCAGATATATTTACTTTGATACAAGATTTAAACGATTAACTGCGAATGACGGTATTCACACACACACACATGCATCCACACACCAATGTTTGTCTAGGAACGCATAGGCGAACTGTCGACTGAATATGTAGACACACACGCGCACTGATAGATAACGATAGGATAAATCCCACACTGAATGTTTAGTTGGAATAAGTTAGGATTGCGCAATTTGATAATCACGACTTCGATATCGTGGCTTCAGTGCCACGTGTGATACGAAATCGTTGGATTTCGTGTCTTAGATTAAGATTTTTGATTGATAGTTNTAGTTGGAATAAGTTAGGATTGCGCAATTTGATAATCACGACTTCGATATCGTGGCTTCAGTGCCACGTGTGATACGAAATCGTTGGATTTCGTGTCTTAGATTAAGATTTTTGATTGATAGTTTTTAGGTTATTTCGTCACTACAGTTTGTGAACGAAAACGATTGATTGATCGATGGTTCCTTTCGGATAATTATTTTGTCGATTATGACAACGATAAAGTCAGGATAACTTGTCAAAATGATTGACTTGCAGTTGCAAACGATTCACACACTTGTAGCGTCAGTTAGACTCTGACCTCATCGAGCGTCCGCGCACGCTCGGACCCGCCAGACTGGCGCATGGTGGCGTTGCTACCCAGTTCGCCAACATACCAAGCGCGGTTACATTCAAATACATGTATTACGATGGAACACCCCCTGATCCCTGGAGAGGATAGGTAGAGTGGTGGGGGGTATCGCAGCCAATCAAGATGTTTTTAATTGATCAGCTGGTCAATTAAAAAACCGGGAGGATGGTGTGCCAAATTGGATTGGTTTGGTATCCTCGATCCCTATTGAGATTGTTCGGATGTTTTTGGATCTCGAGACCTTCGCGATGTTTTCTGGCGAAATATTCTTGTGAGTTGGCAAGCATTTCTGTCTTGTCATATTGGATAGAGTGTCCAGCGTCCACCCAATGTTCAGCCAGTGCAGATTGTGAGATATGGCCATTTTTTGCACACCGTTGATGTTCTTTGGTCCGTGTACTGATCCTCCTCCCGGTTTCACCAATGTACACTTTTCCACAAGAGCAAGGGATTTTGTACACCCCTGGGAGACTAAGTGATGGTCTTTGATCCTTAGCACTGGAAGTATTTGTCCAATTCCCGTTGGTGGTTTGAAACTTGTCCTGATGTCATGCTTCTGTAGTACCTAGCTATTGCGATCGGTGGTACCTTGAAGATATGGGAGAACAGCCGTTCTCTGATGTTCTACTTTATCAACCGGTTCACTCTTAGCTGAGTTCTTGTTTTTCAGCCTGTGCAAAACACGGTTGACTTGTTTGCTCTAGTATCCATTGTTATTCAATGCTTTATCCAGGTGTTGAACTTCGGCTTCCAGGTATTCGGGCTGGGAAACAGTGAGAGCTCCGTACAAAAGAGAGCTTATCACCGAGTTCTTTTGAAAAGGGTGATGGTGTGAGAAGGCATGGAGGTCTGTATGTGTAGGCTTTCGGTAGACTCGGTGACCAAGACTTCCATCCTCATTACGATGCACTAGGACATCTAGGAAGGGAAGAGACTTCTGTTCCTCAATCTCCATAGTGAATTTTATGCTCGGATGTTGTGAGTTGATAAAATTCAGGAACTGAGGCAACGCGTCTGCTCCATGTTTCCAGAGGACGAAAGTGTCGTCAACATACCTGCACCAAACAGAGGGTTTAAGAGGAGCTGATTTAAGAACTTTGTTTTCGAAATATTCCATAAAAATGTTTGCTATGATCGGAGCAGCAATGGGTTCACCGACTTAAATCAAGCCAAAAAATCGACTTGAATCAAAACGAAAATCAGCTTGAATCAAATCGGAAAATCTGTTTGAATCAAGACGACAATCGACTTGAATCAAGTTGCTCTCTACTAGGGTAAACATGTCAATTTCTACTCCACGTGGCTGAGTTTCTGGACGATTTTAACATGCATTGAATATTCCATAAATAAAATGAAAATTGTACTGATTATTTCACTTTTCAATAACTTTACACATGTATAATCATGTGATCAATTATGTTTTCTATTAATCGACATTTAACAAATAAAAAAAAATATAGCCCCGTCGTACAGAAATTAGGAGTTTCGGCTGCATTCAATTATTTCTCAATTTAATTATTCTTTTTGTTATTTTCACTTCAAATAATTTTTTTCTGCTAATTAAAATAGTCTTGAAGTTAGGGAAGCCATCACGTCGCCTTTAGATGATTCTTTTATTCCCTTATTTCCCTTAATCGTCCAGCAATTGGTCTGTTCACCCTACCTAGAACAGGCAGAATTTCGGCGGTTTCTCGGTTTGATTCAAACCGCTGTTAGCTTGATACGTCTCTTCTTGAAATAAACCACATATCGATCCATATCAGACCCGAAATCCGAATTAGCGTAGTCCGAGTTACTCAACTTGAATCAAGTAGAAAATTGACTAGAATCAAGCCGACGTTGACATGAATCGGAATTTTTTTGGGTGGAGACAAATCATCTATTTTTTATTTGTTTTCGTTACTGTAAATGGATTTAACGTGAGGACCACATGGGATCACATAGATTATACACGACACACTTGAAACCGAGTTGAATACTCTGCAGGATTACCATCTTAGAAAAATAAAATGATCACTTCGCGCGACATTGCCACTTTTTCTATGCACTCTTATACAATTTCGATAATTATAAAGAAAGGTTTGAAAAATAATGCAATACACTTGACTGATTAAAAAAATGAATTCATGAAACAATAATCGAAGCATAAAACTTCAATATTATAATGGAAATCGTTATTTAAAAATTTGGATTTTTCGTGTTCAGCGATTAAATCAGTGCCCGAAAACAATAGGACTCCCTTCCCATTTCAACCCCTCCCCCCAAAATCTGCAGACGAAACACTATAAGAATCGACTGGCACTATCGTGCCGGAAGAAGTTTCACTTAAAACAATTTCAATCAGTTGTTCATGAGACGAGAATATGTAAAAAATATGTACTGAATTTTTTCATACACTTCATCCTCCACATTAATTTAATTACCCAAAACAAAAGTAGGGGAGGGTAGGGCAAAACGGACCGCTGGTAGAAAATTGGTAATTTTTTTTTTTCCTTCAAATCAGGAACACGGAATGTGTTGAATTGAAAGTTTCTTGGATCGTAACGGTCACAGGGGTTTTATAGAGAAGAAGTGTCGTCGAACCGCAATTTGATCAGATTTGCTGATCACCTCAAACCACAAATGACTTTGAAAAATCAATATTTCCTAGGAATCTGTGTGTATGAAGACAAAACGGAAATTTTCATATTTATTTCTTGTCTAAACAAGCAGCGCGACAGAAGCCATTTGACGGATTACATATGACTGCTACTCTGCACATCCTTTTTTTTCTCCTATTTTCATTTCTACCAATTTCAAGAACTATCTCAAGAACCTTCAAGAACTCTCAAGAACCAATCTCAAGAACTATCAAATATATCAACTTAAAATTTGATATAGGAATGTTCCGAGGGGTTACTCACTCCCGAAATCATGGCGCCACTCCGCGATGAAATCAATTCGAAATCACATTGAAATCAAATGAAATAAGTGAAATCACCGAAATCACTGAAATCAAGTGATTTCAACTTTCCGAAATCGTTTATGAAATCACCTCCGAAATCACCCTGAAGTCGTTCGAAATCACTGAAATCAATCGTATTCAATGGGGCCAAAATCGAAAGTTGCTTGTATCGTGCAAATAGTAGTCCGGGATTTTGAGTTTGTCGCGCGTACCACTGACGATCGTGAAATCTCGCACTCATCGCCAGATCGTTTTTTCTGAGAATCCCATATTTATTTGCCTCCATCCGCCTCAAGGTGGCTACACTGATCGCCACGAAACAACAGCGAGCTCGACAGCGAGTGCACGATACCTCAACCTAACCTTGTCTCGACCTAATCGGCGTATGTGGGTTGCTGTGTCGCGTTGACGCAAGTCAAATATTCCACGCATTTTTGGTGAAAATTAAAATATTCACTTAAGTGAGCTGGTTTCTCGCATTGAATTGAGGAAAATAATTTAGTCGGTAAGTACTCATTATTTAAATCGGATGTGTAGTTGTGTCGTAGAAATGCTATGAACAATTGAAATTTCAACTTAACCTCTCAATGTAAACATTCAAAGACTAACTTATCATTCCAATCGTTCATGTGACAAACGTTCATTTTTTTCCTCGTGTTGTACATGGAAATATTCGAATGTTTTTCTTTCCCTTTTAGTGGAGAAAATGGAGCCTAATGAAGCGAACAATTTCTGGATGGCATTGAAGAATCATAGAGGAGTTAAACTTCCAATCG